GTGGATCGCCGGATCGGCTTTCACCGTGGACGAAGCGGAGTCCAGCCCGGGGTCGTCACATGTGGTTTCCGCAAGCCCATTGGCTGCGACTTCGTCGAATCCGCCGGCTCACTCAAGCCCACCGGCCGCCGCTCACTCAAGCCCACCATGTGTGATGCTGTGTGTTTCGTTGTGAAAGCGAAACTTTGTTTGGCCTTCCAAAAGAGGACACAACTAGAAATCAGTGGTTAAGGTTGAAAATAATGTGTTTTTTTTTAACCTTAAACCGCATAAACACATTTCATTACACATTTCAACAAAATAATGTTCTTTTTAGCAACATCATATGACCCCTTTAAGCCCTGTGTCTATCCATGTCCAGCATCCGGTATTGTTTGTCGACCCCTCGTTCTACATGTGTGTTCCTGCCTGTTCCATGTGCTCCTGTATTTGGATTAATAAAGAGTGTTGAAAGTTAATCCCCTTCGTCTCCACGCTCCTTCGTCTCCTCGTCTCCTCCACAGTAGACAGATTGTGACAACTATCATAAAACAGGCTTCTCTCTGATTACATATGAATGATTTCTCCAATTATTTAGTCCACTTCAACCCGCCCCTGCTAGTTTGCATTCATCTGCCTCCGTTTGTGAGTACAACCCCACATTTCAAAAACCAATCAACAACCGATGGATAGAATCAAGCTCCTGTCCTACAATTTCCTCTTTTTCAATAATCCATTACATAAAGATATACAGTATATATATATATATATATATATATATATATATATTACACACTGCTATACTTCCATTTCATCGTTATTTTAATAGCTGTTGGCTCACTGGAATACATGTTTTAATCTGGCCCGTGTCATATCCTGATCCTAATGCCCACCTCTCTCCTCTATTGTCCTCTAAATTGTTTTTTTTATTGTCTAAAAAAATTAAATTGACTTGTCTAAAGTGAAAATACTTTAATAAAATGTATTCTTCACATTGCTGCTTTGCATTTTCTGCTTTAGTGCATATTTTTTATTTTATATTGGCAAGTGTAAATTTCATTATATATTAAATAAACGACACCTATGCTCACATAAAATGTTAATTGATTTTTGAGTTATAGCTTCATATGTGATGAGGATCACAGTCTAAAATGGTTATGCAATATGAAAAGTTGATGCTAATTTAAGTAAAAGTCTTCATTTCTTTGATAGATGTGCTCTGCTATATGGTTGGACTGCACTTCCGCAGACGATGGTGGAGCATTAGAGCTCTGTTATTGATTTAGCATATTTAAACAGCTCCAAACTAAAGAAAGGCTTAAAAAGGGCACAACTAATTAGTCAGTTGTCAATAATTGACACTAAGATGCAGTGCGACTAGAGCTGGCTTTGATTGAAAGGCCGTTTATCTTTTACAGATTTGAATGGGGATGTGCTTTTTTTTTTCTCAAGCGTTTAGTGTAGAAAGGAAGTGAATTAGAAGTGAGCTCTGTCGAGTATGAATCATTAACCTAAAGCAGACCACATCTGTTTCATCAGTCATTGAATACTCACTAATAGACTATCAAATTGTTGCCTCTGGGTTATGCTGTGATAACCTTGGCCTCAGTCCATACATACACACATATGAGATGCACTCTGGCAGGGAGTCGGATAATGTCAGCTGTCAGGCTTGGGGACAGCGGTTCAGTTCATTGTCTAGCCCCCTCTTTTGGAAGTCTGCCGAACACAAAGTGATTCCCAGAGCTGTTTCATAACCTCTGATCAGTAATGGTGAAAGTCTTGTCTTGCACTATTTGTGTTATAGACATAAAAATACCTCAGATCTTGTGGTTTACTGAGGACCTGAGCATTCATGCTTTCCAGCTAGCATATGATGAAACAGGGCGATGAAATCTTAAATATTTACATTGAAATAGAGACCCAAGCCATATCTATGGACCAGAATGTCATATAGACTTGGGTCATAATTGCCTTAGTTTGACGAGCAATGACTTAAGATGTTCAAGTTAATGTGGCAAGTTCTTAGAAACTTTCTTTATATTAATGATGGTTTTATGTTGATTGGAAAGACAGTTAAACCACAAATAGAGTTAACATTTAATGAAAACGTGTTGTGGTATAACCATCAAGTAAATAGTAACATATTTTCCTTATGCAGTACCATGCAAATTTATTTAATACACATATATAATATATATATATATATATATATATATATATTCATGGTAAAAAGTTACTTAATTTCTTGTTTTATGTATTTTATTTTTTTCAAGTTGGTTGCACCAAATGACTTTAATTTGGCAGGCACGTTTTTCAGATATTAATAAATAAACTATTATTTTTCTAAGAAATAATTATATAATATAATATAATATTATATAATTATAACACATACACACACACACACACACATATTTTCCATCCTTAAGGAGGAGGAGGTATGTTTAGGTCATTATATTTTTGTATGTATTTTAAAATAAATTAATAGATCCTTGATAGACCATCAGTGCACCCTAACAATCACCCACATTTTCTTCATACAATGTAAAAATCTAGTTGCAGTATAGTGTATTGACAATATTGTGGGTTTTCGTAGTACTGGCGTTTATTGAACTCATCAGTGTGACGATGTTTTTCCTTGTGCCATGTCACACTCATGGGCCACACATGGGGTCATCACTGACCTCTACCTCTCCCTTTCTATCTTTACCTCTAAATCTAATTTTTAGCGCCATGGCATTGTGTGCAGCGTGCTCTGGTGGTTAAAGGTGCTTGTTAAAAGCTATAACTTATCTCACGTTTGAAGCTAATGGGAAGAACACTGGCCACAGTGAAAAATAAATTAATTTTTTTCCCCTTCTCCTGCATTGCCCTTCTAACCCATCGCGTAATATAGCAGTGGTGAGAGTGTGCATTACAGATCCGAGACATTAGAATTTATCTGTACCTCACAACGCTGACTGATGCATTTGAAAATAATGTACTGCAGTCCCAACATTACAGGACCCTGTAACTAATGGACAGCTCTAGCCTGAGCTCGCCTCTGTATATCATTCAACTGCTGCATCAAGTCCAGAGTCCTTTACAGAGCAGCACAGAACATCCTCTACTTGTTTTACCCTTGTACCCAAACCAGACTTTCAGTCTAGTTGAAAATAATCATACACCATTTTAATATTTATTATGACAATTATTTTATATTTTATTTTTAATTATGAATTATTATAGCTGTCCCTCAGTTTCACTTTCACCTGACCAACAATTTTACCTGTCTTTCTGTCTGTCTGTTCTATCTATCTATCTATCTATCTATCTATCTATCTATCTATCTATCTATCTATCTATCTATCATCTGTCACCTGTCTTTCTGTCTGTCTGTTCTATCTATCTATCTATCTATCTATCTATCTATCTATCTATTTTAGATTTATTAGTTTGTGTCAATGAAGAGCTTGATTGAAATGAAATAGAAGACAGTATTACTTATTAACAGATTTTTTTTCTGGTAGTTGGTTGCACCACATGACCGTAATTTGGCAGTTTTTCAAATATTAATACATAATGAATACGTTTTGTTATACTGGTATTTTTCTAAGAAATAACAACCCTGATATTTCAAAGCTTAATGAAAAAACAAACTCCCTTAAATTAAAAACGTTAATTGTAGAAGAGGTATATTTAAGTCATTGTATTTTTCTAAGTATTTTTGAATAAGTTAATAGAGCTGTCATTGACCTGCAGGGCACCCTAACAATCAACCACATTTTCTTCATAGAATTTAAACATCTAGTTGCAGTATAGTTTATTGACAATATTGTGCTGAAGACATTGTGATGCATAAGGGAAAAAAAGATCATCAGCATTACTTATGAACAGAATGTTTTCATTGTGCATCATTTCCAGTCAAGCTGTATATTTGTCAAGTTATGCAAAAAATAGGGATTTTTTTTTTTTTGCATATACTGTAGATGCATCAAATACTAGCTATGAAATTAACAATAGAAAGACAAAGGACATTGCTTTAATTGTTTTCTTGTACTGTATTAGCATGGTCAGGTGATATATTTTTCTTCATGATTAAAGCTCTGTTGACACCAAGAAAGATAACTACAACAGTAACAATAACTATTTTGGCATCTACACCAAGGGACGATAACGTTTTATTTATTATAAGCATGCGCTGCAGTTGTGGTGTGTGCTGCTTTAAATGCTGAGCTCTTTAAAGTCGGGTGGGTCTTGATTGGATGCTAATGTTTTTATCATTCATCAGCTGGAAAAACAAAAAAAAGTAAAAATCATTCTGAAAGTGATTCCAACAATATTGTTCCTCTGTGTCATTATTGTTATAGCTGTGGTGTGTGGGACTTTTGTCATTGTCATAGAATTAGAACTGTTATTAAAACCTTACAGTTATCGTCCTTGGTGTGAACAGGCCTTAAGTCAGGTGAGTGCTGAAGGAGACCATTCAAAGGTTCAAAATAAATTACATGCATACAACCTCAGACCCATTATTGTCATAATAGTATTAACCTGATAAACTTCCAGATTATTAATAAATTCTGTGACAAGCTGGTTCTTTGTGACCCTTTGATTTTCTGTCTTGGTAATGATGTCGACGCATTCAACACTACCAAGGACATCTAGTATTTACCAGCAGTGTACAGTGCACTGTTCCGCTCCACAGTACCTTACCTTACCTTAATGTTTTTTTCCTACCTAACCTTTTTTTAATTATTTAATAACATAAAAATATGTATTATTTGGACTGATTTAATAATCACTGTCAAGACTAAGCTTTTCCGGAAAAAAAAATTATTCAAAACTTGCCAACATATGAAGAAAACATGACCAAATCAGTCACACAGCATTTAGAATGTAATAAGCAACTGATGAGTCTTCTTTGAAGTACAGCTATATCCCAACTCTTTTATCCTCCATCCTATTTCCACTGTCCACATTTCTTTAATAGTGTTTATCTGAGATAACCATGCTGCCTGCTTAAGCCAAATCAGCCCAAAGAAGGAGAAGATGGAAAGGCCAAATGAATTCCATCCACACAGAGGTCAGAGAGACAGAAAGTGCATAGCAGTGCAGTTTGGTCAGCAGGCAGGAGGAGATGGGATGCTAATAAGATCACAGAGAGATGGGGAGCTCGGGCCCCTGGGAAAGGTATAAAGGTGTTGTCTGCGCATTACAAAAAAGGACTAGCTGAAAAAATAATGATGCCTGCCTTAAGGTTTATTAATAATCAGAGGCAGGCTTTTTTGTCCAGAGGATTGCTATGGCGTGGAACCAGCACAAACCAAACCAGAGCAGATGGACGAGGAAAAGAAAAGAAATGGAGAGCGAGATAAAGCAAAAATCGGGAGTTGCTTTGATATGAGGCCTCTTCCTTCCAGTACTGTCTTGGTGTTGGGCTCAGCCGATGTGGACTCTCATTATCTGCACTCTCTTTTTACTCTTAATGGAATACTCAGAGGGTACGGCAGCTCATGTTTGGCATGTTTTTCCTCCCAGACAATGCCATTCCTCTAACAAAGGTGCACAGGAGCAGTACTTTGTACTGAGTACCTGAACAGGGCCTACTCGTCCCCTGTGAAAAAAGACCTGAAAGCTCTGTCTTGTTGCCCTCAGCCTAATTGGAAATTCATAGCTAATGAAATGAGAGACCTGGATGAAGCATGCCGTATTTTGTATCACCCATCAGGAAAGGCCAGTGCTGTGTTGGCTTTATCATACTGCGGACAGCTTAAGTGGATAAGATCTCGGTTATGAAATAGTAATGCGATTATAATGCAACAATGCGGAGTGCCGAATGCTGTGAGTAGAAGACAAATGAAAGCCAAACGTCAGCAGTACCTGCACCTAACCAGATGCACATACTTCACATGAAGCTCACATTGGTAAGGTAATGTGACGTCTACAAGTGAACTACCTTGAACTTCCTCCAGGAATGTGGTTGAGAAGCACTGCCCTAGGCCAGGGGTGTCCAGTCCTTTACCTGGAGGGCCACCTTCCTGCAAGGTTTAGTTCCAGCTTGCAGGTGTGTTCAGTTAGGGTTGGAACTCTACAGCATAGGTCTTCGAACCTGCTCCCGGGGACCCACTGTCCTGCAGAGTTTAGCTAAAACCCTAATCTAAAGACACCTGAACCAGTTAATCAAGATCTTCAGATGAAATTACGTAGGTTGGAATAAACTTTACAGGACAGTGGGTCTCCAGGAGTATGGTTGAAGAGCTAAGCTCTACAGCAAAGTGGCCTTCCAGAAGCAGGATTGGACACCCCTGCTCTAAACATATCCATTAATTACCCCTAATGATAGATCAGTAAGAATGTTTCACAAGTCTCAAGCCTTAGCCCGAACTCTAACCTCAATCCTAAACCTAAAACTATAATCTGATTTCCAGTTTATTGCAAGGACAGCCAACCTTGCTACTGGCGGGCTCCCGTCCTGCAAAGTTTAGCTCCATCGCTTCTTCACCCAGCTAATCAAGGTGTTCAGGCAGGTGTGTTGGGGCAGGGTTGGAACTATAGCCTGCAGGAAAGTAGCTCTCCAGGAACAGGGCTGGCTATTCCAGGTTTAGGAATGTTTTTCCAAGACCAACAAGGATTGATCCTACATGTCCAAGTCATACCTAGAGTTCTCATATGAAAGAGGGCTCAGTGGCCGAGTCTAGCAATATGGGTGCAGATATTGTAAGTATTCAGTTTGTCTTTATCCAACACTGTGGGGCTGGTATCCACTTTCCTCTTAAATGAGCTTGCTGAATGGCATAGTGAATCAGAGCTTCAGTAATTGGTCTATGTGGAAAACTTAGCTGGGAATTATTTTAAACCAGGAAAGCACTGAAATGCATTCTTGGTGGTTATCGGTTAGCGATGCAGCATTAAAAGGTAGATCGTGCCTGATGCAAAATGGAGCCGGTGAGCGACTGTCCCAATTTTAGCAAATCCCTGCTGCCTGATTGTCTCCTGAAGTGGCCTTGTGCTGCTCACATGTATTAATGGTCCACTAGAGGATTTATTTGATTATTGCCTTTATTTCTCTTTCTGCATGTTTTTTTTTTAACTCTGTTTGGCTATAATTTACCAAACTGCATCCATTGCATCAGCTTGATTTAGACAGATCTGATGGAGTCAGAGTGCTTTTTTCATGGTAAATAGCTCGTGTTTCAATGTCAAGGCTTTAACGGTAAAATTGTGCCTGGTATATTTTCATTTGCTGAATATAACAGCCCCAGAACAGAGTCGTTGTGTCCTACCCTACCCCCACCTCATATTCCCCTCTCTCTATAGCTTTGATGTGTGCTATCAGTAAGCCACATCTCCAACACCCCTCTGCACCCCAAACCACTCCATGTCAGCACCTTTTGATGTAGCCTATGTGGACATCCAAATAGAATTTTTAACAAGATGCCATTATCATTTTGATTTCTGCCTGAATGAAAAGAGTGACCTCTGGTATTTGTGCGTAGAACGAGGTGGAGGAGGCAGTGCAGGCAGATATGGCTCATTGACATTAAAAGTTTAGTTCACCCAAACTAACCTAACCCCCGAGGCATCCTAGGTGTATATGACTTTCTTCTTTCAGACGAATCCAGTCGGAGTTATATTAAAAATTGTCCTG